AAAATATTATAATTGGATCCCATCAAAAATCCTGATGGCAGGAACCAATCAAATATAATATATGTTCATATTTAAATATTAACCAATGACAAACCTGTAACCATAGAGATCTCCTGTCCCTCCCCACGACTTGTTTACTCCTGTTTATAAAAAGGCTGCAAAGGCTTTGTTCAGGGCCTCTCAGCGTCACCGGCAACGAGTGTGCAGAGGTCCGGGTTCGAACCTGCAAATAAACAACCCTTGCCGATTGGCTTTGACTCTGGTCTCTGGTGGTCTGTTTTTGGGGGTTTCTCGAACTCTGGGCGTTTCATTTGGGGGCTCGTCCGGGATTTTCCCCAGACCCACCAGACCCCAAGTCAACGGGTTGTTCCTACAACAGATCAGTAAGTAGCCGGCTCTGTCTCTCTGTTTGTCTCAGCGTCGGTTTCTGTCTATCTGTTTGTTTCGGTTTCTGCCGCGCGGAATCTGTATCAGTGACTGTATTGGCTCTGGCGGACGTGCTATAGAGCAGTCAGTCGGGACCGAGGAGACGTCCTCCGGCGCCCATCTGGGGCTACTTAGCCCATCTGGGGTCTTTTTCGGCCCATCTGGTAAAAAGACGGAGCGGGTTGCTACCGCGAACTGGCGTGAGGCCGGCGTCTTTTTCTGTTGGCTAGCCTTCTATGTCTGTGTCTTTTGTCTGTGTCTTTCTGTGGTTGTTAATTGTAAGCCTCTCAGTATTCTACACAAATTGCTCTCTAGACAGTTGCAAAATTGTCGCCACGCTTGCGAGTTAACCTATTTGTTCTTCCCTATAGGAACCTTTGGACTCTTTCTGAAAGTCTGAACTAACTAACTTGACTCACTTTGTCTTTCTTATCTAGGTAATGGGGCAAAACCAGAGCACACCTCTCTCCCTAATCTTAAATAACTTCAAGGAGGTCCGGTCTAGGGCTAACAACCTAAGCCTGGACATTCGCCGATCTAAATTTATGATTCTCTGTCGGTCAGAATGGCCCACTTTCGGGGTCGACTGGCCACCGGAGGGTACCTTTTGTCTGTCGACAATCGCCAAAGTTAAAGCTAAAGCCTTCCGGCCAGGGAAGGAAGGCCACCCTGACCAAGTGCCCTATATCCTTGTCTGGAAGGATCTGGTTGAGAATCCCCCACCATGGATTTCTCCATTTCTCTCTTCAGGATCCTGCAAAATTCTTGCGGCTTGCCCCCCTGCGGCTCGCCCCAAGGATTCCCCCAAACCACGTAACCCCACGGCACCCTTATATCCCGTATTACCCGATAGTCAGGACCCCCATCCCTAGATCCTCCACCCTATCCTCCTCTCCCCATCGCCCGGGCCCCGCCGGAAGCAGCCGCCGCCCCGCCACCCGACCCGCAAGAAGAACCGGAAACGCGAGAGGCGGCGGCTCTGCCGGAGCCAAGAGGGCGCGAAACGACCGCCCTGAGTCCTGTTAGAAATGAAACTGGCCACGGAGGGCCAGCTGGCCGCCCTCGCGGACCTTCTCAGCGAGAGCCAAGCTCCCGCCTCCCTGACTCCACAATAGCCCTGCCCCTGCGGGAAATAGGGCCCCCTGATGACACAGGTAACCCCCGACTTCAGTACTGGCCCTTCTCTACTAGTGATCTCTATAACTGGAAAATCCAAAACGCTCGTTTTTCTGATAACCCTAGAGATCTGATAGCCCTTCTAGAGAGCATTATGTTCACCCATCAGCCTACCTGGGATGACTGTCAACAGCTCCTGAAAATCCTGTTCACTACGGAGGAAAGAGAAAGAATTCAATTAGAAGCGCGGAAGGTAGTTTTGGGAGAGGATGGTCGCCCTACCGCGAATCCGGACCTCATCAACGCAGCCTTTCCCTTGACCCGGCCCGAATGGGACTACAACGCAGCAGAAGGTAGGGGACGGCTACTCACTTATCGCCAGACTCTAATGGTGGGTCTCTGGGCAGCGGCACGCAAGTCCACCAATTTGGCCAAGGTGTATTCAGTGATACAAGGTAAGACAGAGAGTCCCGCTACCTATCTAGAAAGATTAATGGAGGCCTTTAGACAGTACACCCCCATGGACCCTGAGGCCCCAGAAAACCAGGCAGCTGTCGTGATGTCTTTCGTAAACCAGTCCGCCTCTGATATTAAGAAAAAACTCCAGAAACTAGAGGACTTTGAAGGAAAGCAGATCCAAGATTTACTCCGAGTCGCACAGTGGGTATATAATAACCGGGATGCCCCAGAGGAAAAACAAATCAGAGCTACGCGAGAAATGACTAAAGTCCTAGCTACCATAGTTCAGAAAGAACAACCGTCCTCAGGAGGTGGCCACGCAATCAGGCAGCACTTAGATAAAGATCAGTGCACCTATTGTAAGGAAAGGGGGCATTGGTTGCGGGATTGTCCTAAAAAGAAACAACGGCACTCGGAGCCCAAACCATGGCAAACCAAGACAACCTCTGTCCTGTTTACACAAGATTCAGAATAGGGAGCACGGGGTTCAGATCCCCTCCCCGAACCCAGGGTAACATTACAAGTGGAGGGGACCCCGGTCCGGTTCCTAGTCGACACCGGAGCACAACATTCAGTACTAGTTAAGCCCCAAGGAAAAATGTCTGAAAAATAGTCCTGGGTGCAGGGGGCCACTGGGACAAAGAAATACCTCTGGACGACTCAGAGGACTGCAAACTTGGGAACTGGGATGGTAACTCACTCCTTCCTAGTTATCCCTGACAGCCCCTGCCCCTTACTGGGGAGAGACTTACTTACCAAAATGGGGGCCCAGATCCATTTTCAACCAGAAGGGCCAACCGTGACTAATTCCCAAAATCAGCCTCTATCAGTTCTTACTGTAAAATTAGAAGATGAGTACAGACTCCATCAAACACAATCACCGCAAGGTCAAGACCTGGGACTCTGGCTCCAACGCTTTCCCAACGTGTGGGCAGAAACAGGGGGTATGGGATTGGCAAAACATCGCCCGGCCCTGTTCATAGAAATTAAGCCTGGGACAGACCCTGTTCGAGTGCGCCAATACCCGATGCCCACTGAAGCCAAAGCGGGCATCACCCCACATATCCGTCGCCTCCTAGACGCCGGAGTCTTATGTACTTGCCACTCGGCATGGAATACCCCCTTATTGCCGGTGCGAAAACCCAATAGTGGGGAATATAGGCCGGTACAAGATCTGAGGGAAGTCAATAAAAGGGTAATAGACATACATCCGACCGTCCCTAACCCCTACACTCTCCTGAGTGCTCTCAGCCCCGAAAAACAATGGTATACTGTTCTAGATCTAAAAGATGCATTTTTCAGCCTACCTTTAGCACCCAAAAGTCAAGAGTTATTCGCTTTTGAATGGACTGACCCTGACAGGGGCATAAATGGACAACTCACTTGGACTAGACTACCACAAGGATTCAAAAACTCTCTGACCCTGTTTGATGAGGCACTACATGAGGATCTGAGTGAGTACAGACAACAATACCCTAATATAACCTTCCTGCAGTATGTCGATGACCTTCTAATAGCCGCTGAAATGCCTGAGATCTGTATCCAGGGAACTGAAGGCCTCCTACACACTCTAGG